CCATTGGGAATGATCGAGTATCAGAATTAGGCAAATGGGAAGACAGGGAAGTAAAAGTGTCTGGAACCAGTTGGGTTGTGAACAGTGTTGACATTGCAGCAGCTGGTTTGGGTTGGTTTTCCTTGGGTCTAAAGGGTGAAGCATCACTAACATTATGGACATACGATGGAATTGAGATTACTACAAGAGAGCCATTGGTTCTTGACCGGGCACGATTTATTGAGAGACCTGGATTTTGGCTATCCAAAGCTATATCAGATGCTATTGGCAACCAGACTAGATCTGAAGCTAAGAAAAAGAAACTTCAAGAGGAAAGTTCAGAAACCCTGGTAGAGGTCTCCGCTTGAAGTGGATATTGATCAAATAATATAATCCTTAATCAAAGATGTAAATTTATGCATGTAACATTGGCTCGGTTGTATTGTCGACTGCCTGGGGTTTGCTGACGGGGGATATACAGCAAAGGATGCATTAGCTCACCCTCTGGAAGTAGAATATTGGTGTAACAAGTTTTGCATTTGCATTATGAGATCTATGCGGTTTCAGTATGTATGGAACCTCAGCTCTTGTACAAAAGAGATTGTAGAGAAGTCTTGTTGTTTGATTTCTGCCGCTAAATGAACAGGGATGGTATAACAATAATTTCTGCTTAGCAACGAACAGAGGGTTTCACCAAGCATGGCAAAACAATTTTCTTTACTATTTTCAGTAGAACTTTACAATTTCATTTTTACATTTTTCTTTGGTTAACAGAAAGCATAGGGAATGACAGAAAGATAAGGGTACCACAAGGGTTAGAGCCTAGCTCTATACAGAGTCATAGGAACTTGAAGTCGACAATGCGCTCAATAAGTCCTGCAGCTTTTTAGCGTGGCTGCTGGATGTGCTGGGATATTGATTTTGGATCGACATTCTTAGCCGGTTTCTCTGCATATTTTGCTGGTTCCACAGAAGATTTAGGGCTTGATTTTAACAAGTTCAGATTCTCCATCAGGGTCTCAACATCCTCTACATTAAAAAAAGAACTCAATAAAATGTATGTTCAAACTTCACATTGTAAATGGACACAATTCTCCATTTCTAGCTTCCCAAGGTTTTGACATTTTGAGGATTACAGGCACAGCTAATACGTACCACCAGTGGAAGGTAAAGGGGCAGATCTGTTTTCCATTTCGGTCTCACAAGACTGAACAAACTCTTCAAATTGAAGATCCATGGCAGAGAGATCCTCACCAGCAACCAGATCAAAGGTATCTGGAAGCAGATCAGCAATGTCATTGCCATCAAAGTCATCATCTTCGGCATCATTGTAGAAACCATCTTCACCCTGATGCTGGCTGAGCCAATATTGTCGGTACCATGTTGAGGTGGTAACCAGCTGCCACCATTCTGGTGAGAAATCCTCCACTTGACGGACGGCAGCAGGGATATAGAGTGGTGCATTGGGGTTCAAAGTTGACTTTCCTCCAGAAACTTGTGCCATGTTCTCCTTAACCAATATATGCAATTACAACTGTTAGTCAACATAATGAAACCAAGCAACAGTTAAAAATCATACAAGGTTGATGATGATTCAGATTTCTTAATAATCAGTACATGGTTTACTGCCATGGTAAGTGGTCATGTTTGTTTCAATTTCTATTCCAAATTTACAAATAACAGAAGCATATAGTTTATAGAATTCCAAAGGAACAATTCATCAAGAATCCAAAAAAGATGCCAAAATTAACCAATCAATCAAAGCTGACAAACCACGAGAATCAAGAATCCAAGAAAGAAGCAAAACTCAAAAAATTAATGAAGAATGCATCCAAGAATTTTCGAGATATTATCACTCCTTTCGATTTTGTGAAGTCTTAGGAGACAATTTTAAAGGTGCAGCAACCGATAAGTTAAAGATATACAAAAATTGAGATCCTAAATTCACGTCACCGATCATCTGAAAAGAATCACTACCTCATACTGACATGCACAATTCAAAGAGATCAAAATTTATCCGATCAAATTCTTCATAAAATTCTGAAAATACTCAATGCGCTGGTGCTCCAATTCCGCAAGTTCCAAAATGATACACAGATCGTCAAACAAAGAATCCAGAGATCTTAAAGATCAGATATCCTAAAGCACAAAATATTGCCCGATCAAGAAAAGAGATCAATCGTCGAACGACGAATCCAGAGATCTTAAAGATCAGACTTCCTAAAGCACAAAATATTGCTCGATCAAGTACAGAGCTAAAATCGTGTTTGCTTATCAACAAAATGCAGGAAACTGATACTCATCTAATCGCATCTACAATCACACAAAACCTAGAAAACTTAAATCCTCAGTTGCCTCAACTAATTCGATCCATTTCAACTTTCTCAGTAACCAAACAACAGATCAAAGCAAATCACCGTCAAAAAAACATCGAATTGTAGATCGGAAACATAGATCACGATCTTGCGACGAAAAATTGATGAAAACTTGAGAAAATTCAAGTACCTTTGAGCGACGCAAAATTCTCCTTTCTGTTGACAAGAAACGACGAAGACGCTAGCAGACAAAACCAGGATAAGTAAAGGGAGGAAAAGGTGAAAACGCTATTTATAGGCGGGGACGATCCGAACCTGCTAGGTTCGGGTGAGGAGGCTTTGGTTCCACGTCACCGCCACTCGCGCAAGTGGATTATACCGTACGGAATATGGAGTATTGTCGGTTTGCGCGCTGCTCTTTGTTGACACTGACGACCTCTACCGTTTGGTATTTACAGTTCGGTAAGTCGACAATTAAAACGTACCGTATTAGCATGAAGCGGGCGTAGAATGTACAAAAGTTGGTCTAAGAATATTTTGATTGCTAGTAAATTAGGAAAAAATGTGTACTCTTTTGTTTAATTTTAATTGTTTTTGTTTATTTTTTAATTTTAAAAATATAAATTTTAAATAAAAATTTAATTTATTATTCCAATAATAATTAAAAAAAATTTTAAATAAAAATATTTAACAACAACTACATATAAAAAAAATTTTAATTGTTATTCATATAAATAATTAAATTTTCATTTTGAAATTTATATTCAAAAATTCAATAAATCAAATGAAAACTATTAAAGTGGAATGGATAGAGTATTAATCATGTTTTTGCCATGAAAAATCATCTTTTTTTATTTTAAGTTAAATAATAAGAGGCAATCCATTTTCATTTTTTAAGTGACTCAAACTTACTATCTCTTATTTTTACTATAAAGATATTATTATTGAGTTATTTAAGTTATTGGTACCATTTTGTTTAAATTAAAAAAAAAAAAAACTACTGACGAAACATACAGAAATCTCACATAGACAAAAGCTAAAATAGAGTCTCATCTTCTAATTCTTTAACCAAGGTCTTATTAGTAGTATTTATAGTACATAGATAACTAAACCAGAAAACTAAAGTGCAGTTTGTCTTGTGTAAACTACATTTTTTATAATCATTGATGAAAAAGTGAACTCCTAGTATGAAGAGCAAATTTAAGGGTAGTTCGGACTACATTATTTTTTTTTTTTTATGTTAATTGCACAATAGAAGATAATTTTTTTTCGTCCTTTATCTCACCCAATTCGCATGTCATACGATTTGAATTCAAAATTTCTTATTTTTAGCATGTCATACGATTTGAACTCAAAATTTCTTATTTTTAGCAGAAGGAGATTACTACTAAACTATTTAGATTGTTAGCGACTACACCAAATTTTAAAACATCAACTATTTGAACTGAAACTAACTTATTTTTGAGCCATCCCAAATTGAAAATGAATTTTTGGACTTCTTTTTTAAAATAAACTACAACAAATCAAGTTGTGGAACCAACATGCTTCGTCTAAAATGGATATATATATATATATATATATATATATATTGGTAAGAATCTATCTGGAACAGATATAGAACATTTGTTTAATTAAAGAGAAAAAGATGGGAAAAGAAATATATCGTAGAACACTACCTACCCTGCATGTGCATGGGACGGTGGGATAAAAAACGAATGAAACAAAGAGTTTGAGGTGGAGATCAAAAGTCTACTCCTGAAAGGGATTAATATGTATAAATTAGGTGCTGTTTGGCCAATATTTATTGTATATCTGTAAGTCGGATATATTGTTTGGCCAACTAATATAATTCATCATAATTAAATCACGTCTATGTTGATTGCAACCTAGAGGATTGAATATGCTAATAAATAAGTGTTGTTTTGTAAATTATATTTGAAATTTAAGTTTTAAGGCTAATATCTTAAGAAGTTAATTCTTTTAATGTACCAAAATCATTTGAGATGCACATGCGCTTTCAAAATCATGCAATCAATAAATTAATCTCTAAGTGTGCAAAAACTGATCCAAAAATATCACAATTGGTTTATTTTGTCAACTAACACGCTTGTACCCATAGTGACTGACATTATTTGATTAAGATTCAATTTTTTGAAAATGTTAATAAAAATGTAAGTCATTGTAAATATATAATTCTTTAATCCCAATATATATATATATATAAATGATTGATATCCATTTGGTTGAACACAGTTTTGACATTTGTCTTGATTCAACTATTAAAATATAAAATAAATACAGTTGAGTTAATTAGTTCATGTATCATATATGTATAGCTTTATTAAATTTATCAACTTTTAATTTCAGACAAAAAATAATAATTTTTTAATGAATGTGTTGAACTAAAATGTGTATTAATCACTATCCATATATATATAGTAGGGATCCACTTATTTACAAATTTTATACACTACACCTACATAAAATGTCAACCATTCATCTCTTCACTTTTAATTGTTGAGATTTATTTACATTTAATAAAGATAGTTATTTTTAATCTTAAAAATAGAGATAAATCTCAACATTAAATATGGAGAAATGAATAATTAAGATTTTATGTGAGTGTAATGTGTATGATTTGTGTGTAAGTGAATCC